AACCGGACTCCCTGGCCATTCATCAGCATCTGCCTGGAATGTTTACTGGTGCAGTTGGACAGAAAATAAGCAACAACACCCAAACAAGCACTGACAGACAAGAAAAGCACGGACAAACTTGCTCCAGCAAGCCAGCAAACCAGTCCATCATCACTTCCACCCGGCGCTTGATGAAGCCCTCGAAGAAGTTGTAAAGGATTGCGCGCAAGGCAGAAGCGTGTGGCACAGATGACATAGCCCACATCAGACAATCTGAAGATGGCAACCTGACGCTCATTGCAAGCAAGTTGGCAGCATACAAGTCGGCCATGCGCCTCCGCACTGCTCGGACATTGAGTTCCTCATACCAGGCCTGCAGCAAAAACACAAGAAATAGTGGAGACGCCAGAACCAGCCCATCTTTCGCAGTCCTCAGAACGCGGGCCTTGGGGCAAAACCTCTCGGGCAGCTGCTTGCATGTCATGGTCGGTGATGGAAAAGTACTTTGGGCTTGCCTGCGGAGTTTCCTGGCTTCCTGTATCTCGCAAGCATGTGTGGCACCTGTGGGGCCTGGCTTCCAATGGCACTGGCGTTGGCAAGTCCAAGAGGAACCGAACATCCCCCCGGTCCTGCCGGGGTCTTGTGACATGGCCGGGATGCAAGGCCACATGCCTCTGGGCCGAAGCAGGTGTCACCTGTCGGATGTCCGTCTGGCAGACCTGTGAAGGCAGTGGACTAGCAGGCTCGTCTTTCTGCAGCTCCGCAGACTTGGCCGCCTGCGAAACCATCTCCGACATCTGCGGGATGATGTTTCCAGAGATGCGAGGCACTTCCTCCAAGACAGCCCGCCTGGACTGCACTGTGGTGACCCGAAAGTGAAATCCTATTTGCGTCAGCTCAGTCTGCTTCACTGTTGCGGCGCGGCCAAGAGAGTAGTAAGCCCCTGCTTCGGCCTGAGACATGTTCTCCAGCGGTGCAACATCTGCTTGAGCTACTCCTCTTCGAGAAAATGTTTCCAGAATCAGCACCCAGTTGGAAGAATATTTTGCTGATAGGCCCTTGGCTGGCAATAGTGCAGCGGTGACTGGAGATGCCGACAGCGGCACCAGCAGATGGAAAGACATAAGCTTGAGGCACACCTCCGGGCTTCGGCCTTTGAGAAGTCGATCGCACATGCTGTCTACATGCGTGTGATCGTCTAGGGACTTGCGCTCTGATCGACGATCTGTCGGTCTGGGGGCTTCTACAGGGCACGTTGCTCCCAACTTCGAAGCCCTACCCCGCAGTCGCTGGATCCCCGCCATTCGCGCCACTTTATTTTGCCTCATGTCTGGTCTGGCACCAGGCGTGGACGCCCGCTTCCGCTTCTTGCCAGCCCTTGCCAGCGGAGACTCCGAACGCACTGCAGCCGCCGCGTTCATTCTTGGGGCTTCCATGGCTTCAATTTGTGGACAATTGTCCACCGGGAATCAAACTGCTATAGCTCAACCCGCGTTATCTGCACTGTGACTGATGTGACCTGCCGGTGTGTGAGCCCCAGACTTTGCAGCCGTGTGTGCGTATTTGGCGGCTTGCGAGACCAATTCCGACATCTGCGGGATGATGTATCCAGAGATGCCAGGCGACTCCTCCCAGACAGCCTGCCTGGACTGCACCGTGGTGACCCGAAAGTGAAATCCTATTATGCCAGCTCAGCCTTCTTCATTGTTGTGGCGCGGCCAAGAGAAGCGAAAATCCCTGTTTGGGCCGAATACATGTTCTTCGGCGGCGCAGCATCTGCTTGAGCTACTCCTCTTCGACAAAAGGTTTCTAGAAGCAGCGCCCAGCTGGCAGAATATCTTGGCTGGCAATACTGGAGCGGTGACGTGAGACGCTGGCAGCAACATAAGCAGCCGGAAAGACATATAAGCTTGAGGCGCACCTCCGGGGATCGGCCGTTGCGAAGTCGATCGCGCACGCTGCACATGCGTACATTCGTAATTCGTGCGAGCGCCAGAACACTTGGCGCTCTGATCGACGAACTAACGACTTGCGGCCTTTTCCGGGCACGTTGCTCCCACCTTCAAAAGCCCCACCCCGCGGTCCCACGACGATCACACGCGCGCGCCACATGCGTCGCAGAAGCCGCCGCGCCCTTTTTTTGGAGCTCCCATGGCTCCCACTGCCGCTTTCCTAGAAAGGAAACAAGTTCTCCTTTTTTTTGCTCTACCCTATGCTTTTGCAAGTAAGCAGGAAACAGGCCGCTGCACATTTATGTGTTTATGGGCTCCATCCCAGTAAGGTTATATCAAAATGGACGCTAGGTGTGGTCCTGCGATTCTGTTGTTTCACCGGGGGTCCGGGGAATTGGGAAACCTTGCGCGCCTCCATGTTTGTTTCGAGCCGGGGGTGCAAGCTTTGGGATGTTCACAGGCTCCGAGACAATCTAGAGCGCAGGAATGTTTTCCACTTCTGTGAAGACATGATATGACCTTGCCTGGCTCCCTGGGTATTAAGGACGGCTTCCATGTTTTATGGTTCCTCAGCTGAACAACTGTCTCAAAATTTGAAATACACATGTTTGCCAAATACCTCCATGTCTGTTAAAAACACCTGCGCCTCCATGACTGGTCACAAGAGTGTCGCATGCCGCAGGCCTCATCCGAACACGACGCACAGCGCGCATGATGACCAGGCTCTGTTGCCCTGTTGTTCTCGCAGGCTTGAGTTGTCGCAGTTTCGGCGTGTGTTCGCGTGCGTGCCTAGATAGTTGTGTGGCCGCCGCCGATTGTCAGTTTTTTGCTGGGCTGGCAGGTACCGTTCCAAAGCCAAGTCATGAAAGATGCTGATGACGTTTGAAAATAAGACACACATGCCGCTGCTCAACGCGTTTACTGCAAGCTTGGCTGCGCCCCTTTTCGGCTCCTGCTCCAGAAGCACATGCAGCTTTTTTTGAGTTCGCCATCACCTGCTGCACACACACACACAAACACACACACGCACACACGGCTGCAAAGTCTGGGGCTCACACACCGGCAGGTCACATCAGTCACAGTGCAGATAACGCGGGTTGAGCTATAGCAGTTTGATTCCCGGTGGACAATTGTCCACAAATTGAAGCCATGGAAGCCCCAAGAATGAACGCGGCGGCTGCAGTGCGTTCGGAGTCTCCGCTGGCAAGGGCTGGCAAGAAGCGGAAGCGGGCGTCCACGCCTGGTGCCAGACCAGACATGAGGCAAAATAAAGTGGCGCGAATGGCGGGGATCCAGCGACTGCGGGGTAGGGCTTCGAAGTTGGGAGCAACGTGCCCTGTAGAAGCCCCCAGACCGACAGATCGTCGATCAGAGCGCAAGTCCCTAGACGATCACACGCATGTAGACAGCATGTGCGATCGACTTCTCAAAGGCCGAAGCCCGGAGGTGTGCCTCAAGCTTATGTCTTTCCATCTGCTGATGCCGCTGTCGGCATCTCCAGTCACCGCTGCAATATTGCCAGCCAAGGGCCTATCAGCAAAATATTCTTCCAACTGGGTGCTGATTCTGGAAACATTTTCTCGAAGAGGAGTAGCTCAAGCAGATGTTGCACCGCTGGAGAACATGTCTCAGGCCGAAGCAGGGGCTTACTACTCTCTTGGCCGCGCCGCAACAGTGAAGCAGACTGAGCTGACGCAAATAGGATTTCACTTTCGGGTCACCACAGTGCAGTCCAGGCGGGCTGTCTTGGAGGAAGTGCCTCGCATCTCTGGAAACATCATCCCGCAGATGTCGGAGATGGTTTCGCAGGCGGCCAAGTTTGCGGAGTTGCAGAAAGACGAGCCTGCTAGTCCACTGCCTTCACAGGTCTGCCAGACGGACATCCGACAGGTGACACCTGCTTCGGCCCAGAGGCATGTGGCCTTGCATCCCGGCCATGTCACAAGACCCCGGCAGGACCGGGGGGATGTTCGGTTCCTCTTGGACTTGCCAACGCCAGTGCCATTGGAAGCCAGGCCCCACAGGTGCCACACATGCTTGCGAGATACAGGAAGCCAGGAAACTCCGCAGGCAAGCCCAAATTACTTTTCCATCACCGACCATGACATGCAAGCAGCTGCCCGAGAGGTTTGCCCCAAGGCGCGCATTCTGAGGACTGCGAAAGATGGGCTGGTTCTGGCGTCTCCACTATGTCTTGTGTTTTTGCTGCAGGCTTGGTATGAGGAACTCAATGTCCGAGCAGTGCGGAGGCGCATGGCCGACTTGTATGCTGCCAACTTGCTTGCAATGAGCCTCAGGCTGCCATCTTCAGATTGTCTGATGTGGGCTATGTCATCTGTGCCACACGCTTCTGCCTTGCGCGCAATCCTTTACAACTTCTTCGAGGGCTTCATCAAGCGCCGGGTGGAAGTGATGATGGACTGGTTTGCTGGCTTGCTGGAGCAAGTTTGTCCGTGCTTTTCTTGTCTGTCAGTGCTTGTTTGGGTGTTGTTGCTTATTTTCTGTCCAACGGCACCAGTAAACATTCCAGGCAGATGCTGATGAATGGCCAGGGAGTCCGGTTCGATGGGAACTTTGATTTGCCCTTGCAGGTCTGCGAGTACAAGGACCAGCGAGATCAACAAACCTGAGCTTCAGTTTTCTTAGTTCCACACAACAATTCGTGGCCCCTGGCTCCTAGATCCCCAACTGAGCAGTTGCGCCTTGCATGCTTGTCAGGACGAGAGATGGGTCAGGAGGCACAAGGCTGCGTTCGCATGGTGCGGCGCTGATGGCTCCTTGCTCAAACCTATTTCACTTGCTACCTCTGAGAGCATGCCAGAAATTGAGCGCGACTTCACACCTTGGGTCCGGCGGATGCAGCAAGTGCGACAGGAGCATGGCCTTTCGGCTGCGGAGACCGTCCCTGTGTTTCACTCAACAGACTCCTATGGCAAGCATCGGAAGAAGCTGACTAGTTTGTACGTCAGGCTGTTCAAAGCCCTCCGTGTCACAAGTGCCCACACCACGCCAAAGGCCAGTGCGTCTGGAACCCGCCTGCTGGGAGATTTTCAGTCGCCCGTCGCAGCCATGGTGACGGTGACTGCAGATCCACAGCATGACTTGTTTGCATTGAGGAAGCTGGTGAGGACAGGCGCTCACACTTGCTTGTGCAGTGGCGTGTTTCCCAAAAAGGCTTCTGGCCCCACGACCCAATTAAGCTGCTTAGCCATCGCCTAGCTAAGATTTGGCAACTGAGGGAAGCGCTCAACCTAACTGATTTGGTTTCCGTATCTGCCTAGTCAGTCATGGCCAACCCCGCTGCCCGCCAAGCGCACGCCTCACATACAGGCACGCCTAAACACACACACCCGCCCACCCACACCCGCACGCACGCACGCACGCACACACGTATGCGCGCGGGCGCGAGCACGCACCCCCCCTCCGCGCGCAAACGCACACCTACGCGCGCGCGCGCGCGCACGCATGCGCACGCACTCGCACAAACAGGACTGATGCATGCGACTATGCAGACTTTCTCTTTGACCATGGAGATCTCTTGAACCGCCTGAGTGCTGAGCTTTGCCCGGTGGACGTGCCGCCGCCAGCCAGGCCAGGAAAGAGGCTGACAGGCGGCCAGAGGGATTTGCTCAGAAGCGCAGCTGAGGACACAGCAGGAGCGTTTACGCTGTCCGTGCAGGACAAACAGGTGGACGTTGACTGCCTCAGGCAGTTCCTCCAGCAGCCCTATGTGCACAAATCTGACGAGTGGCTGAAGCTGTTCCAGTCTGAGCCTCCTCGGGGCGTCCTCAGCCGCATTGCGCGGCGTTTGGATGTTGCGCTGAGCCCTGTCAACGGGCCTTGGCAGTATCCAGACAAGCAAGACTTCCGCGATGAGATAGCCAGGATGATATCGTGGTACGAGCCCGGGCGCAAGAAGCTGCGCCGGGCAAGAAACCTGCGCGAAGATGAGCCGGTCAAGATGGTTCCTGGAGCGACAACGGTCTTCACCACCAAAGTCCGTGAACACTATGCAAAACTGTCCACTGCCTTGAAGATAGAAGGCCTTTGGAAGTGGGCCACGGTAGCCCGCGGTTTGCATAAAGCCGGAGTGCCAGTGGTAAGCGGCACCATTTCTGTGGAACAGAAGTGGAGCCACATCAACTCCATGCTTCCGCAAGAATCCAGGCGCATCTCCCTGCCCTGGTTTGACATGATTTCCAATTTATGTTTTCTCCGACTGATGTACACTCATTATCACCATGGAAGTATGCCCTCTTGGACGGACAATGACTCTCTGCTCTCACAAAAGCTGGATGGCATGATTGCCCTGGCCAGATGCATGGCAAACATGGACGGCGTTTTGGATGAAATTCCTTCCAGTTTGGTCTGCTCGACTCCACTCGAGCCTGAGGACGAAGCAGGTGATGTCATTCTTGCGCAGCCCGAAAGCTTACGTTTCTGGGAGCAAGGGTTGTCAGAAGAAGCCTTTGGCATGGAGTTCCCAAGTGTCTTGGCTTCTGACACTCAGTTTCAGAGTTTAGCGTGTCCCGTTTTTTTTTTTGACAGCGCACGCTGCTTGCACCCACCAAGGTAAGATCCACATGAGAGTCTTGCAAAGCAAGTGGGCTCGGGCTGTGGCTGATGGCAAAAAGTGGGTGGAGACCCAAAGGTACCGAGAAAGAAGCCTCAATGCAATGAAATTTGCAGCGCCTGGCGAGTGGGTCGTGATGGGGGACTCGCAGCATGTCACAGCTATAGCGGTGTGTGCCGGGAGTGCTGTGCGAGGGTGCACCGACATTGTCAGTAGTGGCGTCCTGGACCGCGTTGACGAGTCATTGCGACCGGACCTTGAGAGCTACCTTAGCACGGGCCAAAGCTTTGACTACATAGCCTTCTCCAGCGTGTGCAGCCTGAAAAGGGTAAACCCCATCCCATGGAAGACTTTCTGGGCGCTTGAAGGGGCCAAGAACCCCAAGAACAAGCAAGGTTTCCCTCGGGTTGGAGGGCCGGAATTGGCTCCGACACTTTTTTTCTGGGCCAAAAAGTTAGGCGCCAAATGGATCGATCCGTATGGCGACGTTCCTTGATTTCTGCTAGCTGCCGCTGTTGGCTGGGACATGGCAAGAAGCCGTGACAAGACACTGGTGAAAAAATGCTGGCAAGATCGCTTGGTGCCCAATAAACGCAAGCCATGTCAGCAGAACCATGTTGTCCGTTGCATTGCATTTATGCTCAAATTTCTTTTGGAGCAATGTTTGTCTGGAGTGAACGCGGAGTGACAGTGCGTCGCACGGCCCCCCGACGGACTCAGTGTCTCGGTGCACAGCCCAAGATGGATGCCCCAGCAGCTTTTCAGGACCATGCCAAAAAATCTTTCAAAGAACGTTGCATGCCTGGGCTGCCCTGTCAAGTAGCGCGTGCGCATGTGAGCGCGCGCACGTGTCCAGGACGACCTGGTGACAGCTGATGACCCTTACTTGGTGCCCGAGCAAGCAGCCGACGAAGCGCAAGACTATGCGGCTGCCTTAGCAAAAGCTATGCACGCAGAGTCTTCCCCACCGCGGCCAACGCAACGTGCAGAGGTTTCTCGGCCGTTTGCTGTCGCATACGCGTTTGCGGTTGCTCACGTAACCATTTCTCAAGAACTAAGGCTAGGACCTTGTCGCCGTTGCCCATGCATGTTGTTTCCCCACCCATGTCTGTTGTTTGTATTTGTGGATTTTGTGCCACAAGTCCCTCAATACAGCTCCCGTGGCAGGAGAAGACATCTGAGAGTCCAAATGCTACAGCCCCAACACAGAACAGCGGGCCAAGCGAGTCACCAGGGCCAAAGCTGGTGGATCCTTTTTTCCGTTTTGAGTTCTCCGATGCTGTTTCCAGCAAAGAGCAGCAGAGGGCGGAAAAGCCTGACTTCGTGGCAGAAGCTCTTCGCTCCTTGTCTGGCTTGACAACGGAGGAAGAAATCAACCATCGAGTGTTTCCGCCAAACCTTTTCGATGGCATGAGCACCAGTCAGGAAACTGTTGCGACTATCCATGGGTGGCTTCAAGAAGCATGGTCTGATGCCCAGACACTCTCCCACAGAGAGCTTGCCACGCAAGACTTCGATCTCAGGATGTGCGGCCCACTTCCTTGGGTGCGAGCAATGCAGGCCATCGCTCTCCATGACGGCCTGTGCCCCGAGTCATTGAACCTGGCTTGCGACGCCAACATCGGCTTCTGTGAGCACCATGCCACAAGGCTGCTGCACGCGCCCGACAGCACCCACCGAGGTGTGTCTCCCAACCCCTCTGTGATGTTGGGCGCAGCGGTGTCTGCCCGCAAGTCTCACATCATTGAAATGACGGACCACTTCCTCGAGAAGGCGGAGCCGCAGGATGCAGCGGGAAAGCCTGGCTACATTGCCCAAAGGAAAATCGTCATTTCGGATGCTACATTGGCTGGCATCCGCAAAGCCTTGAAGGTATACAGCAGGGCCATTGTCACCAGCGGCGAGGCGTCCACTGTCTATGACACCCCTTTCTCTTCAAAGCGGCCTGGTGTGCATTACCTCCCCGAGCACGTCATGAACAAGCTCACCCAGAGTGAAATGGACGATGCGATCACAGCTGGTACCGACACGCACCTAGGAGACGCAGACCATCCCTATGTCGTGCTGCACAAGATATCAGGCCAACAGGACAGAATGTAATCATAGCCAAACCCCCAGCCCTCAAGACACACGTAATAACCCGCTGTTTTGCTTGCAGGAAGTCATTGACGCCATCCTCAAGCCTGCGGCCCACGGCTTCCAAAAGCGATTTTGGTTCTCAGTTGCTCCCAAGGGCTTACAGCACGACGACTCTGCTCCTGTCAAGAGCGCCCTTGCGTTAGTTGAACAGCTTCATGCATGGATGTTCGACCACTTCTTCTACCAGGAGGAAGAAGGGGAGAATCGCAAGCACGTCCTCGACGGCTTTGCTCTTCACCTGTACGAATGCTCCAAGAAAGCATGTGACGAGTTCAAAGCAGACCACAACGAACTTGACCAATACACGGAGGCCAAGCTGGACTTTCGACACTCAGACCTTTTGCGGGCCAGCCACATCGCAATGAGGAAAGTGCAGTTTCTTCATAGCTACGTTCTTGGGGGCCAGCCCAGGCCGACCAGAACCAGCCCCTCCATCTATGAGTTCTGCTTTGCCCTCCACAACTGGAGAAGGCAAATCCGCCTCCACTTTTGCTACCTGCAATGGATGCAGCGTAGCGGCGCCAAGGTCCTAGCCGACGCTGCAACTGGTTCCAAGGCAGCTGAGCCCCAAGGCAACCTCTACGTTGCTGGCGAAGGCGCCTCTCCTGCAATCAAACACCAAACCTTAGTTTTGTTTGTGCAGGTCACGGGTTTGCCGGGGCTTAGGCTTGCAAGGCCGCGACTACCTGAAGTACAGGGTCCTTACGGACATGTCTGGCACCTTTAGCACGCAAGCCATCAGGCTGAAGTACCGGAACAGCAAGAAGACCAAGGACGCACGATTGTTGCTTAGCTAAGAAGGCCACTGTTTCCGGTAACTTGCGCCTGGCTCATGACAGGATCTTGCCAAAACGGAGACGATCAAAGAGGTGTGCGAGGAGTTGGAGGACCAGGGTTTGCTGCGCAAGGCAGCAAAGGAGGAAAGGGAGCCTGGCGATGAGCCCCAGCCTGCCAAGCGTCGAAAGTGGAACAAAGACAATTTGGTCTCCTTTTATGAAAAGCCAGCCCTTCACAGTTTGTCTGAGCGCGCAGCCAAAGAGCAGGCCAGGCTCTGTGTTCGGTCACAAGCTTTTCCCTGACCAAGTCTTTTACACTGGGCTCGCTGTGCGGCCAATAATCCTTCTGACAGGACCAGTGCGTAGGGGAGGGGTTGCACCGTTTCCTTTCAATATGCCACTCTAGCGTCATCTTCGTGCCATCGTGATGCCCAAGAAGTGGTGTCGTGAGTTGTAACACACTTTCTGCATTTGGGGGCCACTGAGTTAAAAAGTGCTCTTTATTTGCAGTTGCGCAAGCTTGGCAACAGGAAAGCTTGCAGACCCAGAGAGCCGCGCAACAGAACCTGCGCAGCCCCGGCTCAGACTAATCAAGACAGAAACACCAAAAGGCCAGAGGCAGCACAGCCAAGTAGTTGCCAAATACAAAGGCTTCAATGCCGGACAGGTGTTTTATGGCTTTGATTTTGCCAGCCCGTGCTCAGGCTCTTGAGAACAACGAACAAGCAAGCAAGCAAACAAAAACAAACAAACTAGCGAGCAAGCAAGCAAGCAAACAAGCAAACAAGCAAACAAGAAAGCAAGCAAGCAAGCAAACAAACACAAACACAAACACAAAGACACAAACAAACAAACAAACAAACAAACAAACAAACGAACAGACAAACAAACATCCAATAACAATTACTCGCAAAACACCATTGCCTGGACATACTACGTAGCATGGCACACAGTAACGACTGACTGACCACGGCCCTGACAGCCCAGACAGGCAATTTAGAGTTTGGCCCACGTGGCCGCTTCCACTTCCATGTGCTCGTGCGAAGCAGGGAGGTCGCGCACGCAGCTGCTGTCTGCAGCTTGGAGCTTTCAGGCGAGGCACGTCGAAGACAGCAGATGAGTGGCCCTCTGTCGTGACTTCTCACGTCTTCTTCGCAAATCTTCCCAGCCCCGAGAAGGCGATGTAAGGCAGTGTTATTATCAAAGGAAGTTTTGAGGGGACTTCCGTAGTACGAAAGTTAAGTGAAGAGTAGCTCGAGAAGTGTAGCTAGAGAGAAGAGTAGCTAGAGAGAGAAAAATAGCTAGAGAGAAGAGAGTAGCTAGAGAGAAGAGTAGCTAGCGCGAAGAGTAGCTAGAGAGAAGAGTAGCTAGAGACAAAAGTTGCTAGAGAGAAGAGTAGCTAGAGAGAAGAGTAGCTAGAGAGAAGAGAGTAGCTAGAGAGAAGAGTAGATAGCGCGAAGAGTAACTAGAGAGAAGAGTAGCTAGAGACAAGAGTAGCTAGAGAGAAGAGTAGCTAGCGCGAAGAGTAGCTAGCGCGAAGAGATAGCCAGAAAGAAGAGTACCTAGAGGGAAGAATAGCTAGAGATAAGAGTAGCTGAAGAGAAGAGTGAAGAGTAGCTAGAGAGAAGAGTAGCTAGAGAGAAGAGAGTAGCTAGAGAGAAGTAGCTAGAGAGAAGAGTAGCTAGCAGCGTCAAAGCGTGGAAGCGTCGAAGCGACGCAGCGTCCAGGCGTGGAAGCGTCGAAGCGTCTAAGCGGCAAAGTGTCGAGGCATCGAGGCATCGAGGCGTCAAGGCTTAGAAGCGTCGAAGCATCGAAGCGTCCAACCGCCGCAGAGTCGAAGCATCAAGGCGTCGAGACGTCGAGGGGCCGAAACGTCGAAGCGTCGGAACGCCGAGGCGCCGAAGCGTCGAAGCATCGAAGCGTCCAAGCACCGAAGCGCCGAAGCGTCGAAGCGTCGAGGCGTCGAGCCGTCGAGGCGTCGAGGCGCCGAAGCGTCGAGGCGTCGAGGCGTCGAGGCGTCGAGGCGCCGAGGCATCGAGGCGTCGAGGCGTCGAGGCGTCGAAGCGCCCAGGTGCCCGTTTCCGAACCCACATGCCCATACCCTCTGGGTACTTATAAGTCCTCCAAGTGCAGCTTGCCCGTTTGTAAATAGGTGATATAACTTAACCTAGAATGCTAGCAACTTACTTACCGGGGTAAACAAGAAACTGAGTTTCTTTTTGTTGACATCTATTTGGGGGGCATGGGGTGCACGGGCCTGGCATTCGTGATTTGTTTTGGAGGCAAAAGGTCGACTGGCTAACGCATTCCCTGAGTTCATGGACTTTTGTCGCTTTTGGCAAGACCATTTTGGTGGTAGACGCAAATGCGGACTTGTTTGGCTCATCCACTCAAGAAGTGAGGGGTGGCTAGAAATACAGAAACCACTCTGCTGGTTGAACAGCCCTAGGCTGAAACATGCGATGCTTCAATAGTTCATGAGAAAAGTTGGAAGGGCTCTTGGGTGGGGGGGTTGATGAGGATTATTGAGGATTAGTCTTTGGAGGGCCATTTTTTTTAGGATTTTTTTTCATTTGTTTTT